ACCATGTGTTCTCTTTCATATGTAGATACTAGCTTCTAATTTTGTATTTTGTGTATTTAGCTTAGAGAGCACATAGAAATAAGAAAATGAATAACAGGCCAACAAGGGAGAAAATGCATTGAGAAAGGAGGAATAGTAAATTATAAGTGAGATGAAAGTATACATGGGAAATACTGGAAGCAGAATGGTATCTCTTAGAATAACTTAGAATTGGTTGTTTCAGACTAGGGAGATGGAAACATTGATAAAACACTTGCCAAGCAAGAATAAAGAGCTGAGTTCAGACCCCCAGAACCCATTTAAGGGTAGACATGGTATCATGCATCTATAATCCCAGTGTTCCTACAGCAATATAGGAAGTGGAAGGTGGAAAATGACAGGCTAGCTAGCCTGATTTATATACCAACAAGGGGCCCTGTTCAAGCAAGGTGGATGGAAGGTAAACAGCATACAAAGTTTTCCGGTGACCTATATATGTGCAACATGATAAACACTTGAAGCAAGCACGTTCAGACACACACAGGTGAATGCACACATATTCACACAGAGAGAGAGATTGAAAGGTGATTGTTTTACATTTTATCAACAAACATTACTTTCACACTACGATCTACAGAAGTTAGAAATGTACATCAAGGTGAGGAGAGTCACTAGTAAAGGAGACCCTCAAAAGAAAATTGTGCCAGACTCTTGAAGGAAGGTGGTGATAGGTGTGCATTTAAAAAAAAAAAACAAAACTGAAGCACGTTAAAAATGTCAGAATATACTGACTTAGTAATTGAAAAATTTAGTCTTTATTATTCAATTTATACTAAAGTCTTTGCTTGCATTCTATATGTTCCTCACTGTGCTGAGTATGGTCATAGATCATGCATAATTCTCACCTCTCTAATCTAAGTGTGCTGATCCAATTCTCTATGGTTTCTGGCTCTATCCATGAAACCAGCTCTTTCCTAATTGCTATGATGAGAAAATGAGGTGGTCAAAAAGATTTATGCACTGTTTGGAAGAAGAACCACAAAAGTATTCTTCATTTTCACACACCATGACACCTGCTAGATAATGCCATAATGGGGAAAAATAGAACAACAAGAAAAAATAGGACCACAGCCAGAAGCCATTCAGAGACTTTAGACAGGTTTCTAAATCATTTACTTCACAAGATAACTGTAAAGGAAAAAACATCTTCCCATATGAGGCCCCTTTTAAAGAAATCGACTGTATGTGTCTGTTTTGTGTTGTTGTGACAGAATACCACTGACTGAGGAGTTTATAAGAAAAGGACCTCATGATCCTGGAGAATGAGAAGTCTAAGAACTTGGTATTAGCAGCTGGTGAGGACCTTCATGCTGCATGATCATACACTGGAAGAAGGAAGAGAGGGTATGAGAACAATAGAACAAGAGAGGAGTAAAGTAATTTTATAATAAATCACTTTGGATAACTAAATCACTCCAACCAAAGTATTAACCTACTCATAATGGTTTTCATCAGGTATCACTTTCCAATATTACATTAGGCAATAATTTTTCAACTTGGGGGCCCAGAGGCCCAAGCTGGATCTGACCTGAAAGTCTCCTCACTGAAGACTAGCTTTTGTGGTACAAGAATGTACCATGCAAGGTTCCAAATGATAAAAGCAACCAACAATCTTACCCCACTATGATGCCTACTAGCTACAATGACTGGCATGGTATGATAACCCTAAGGGTACAATAGGGACACACATGCCTTACTGCTAACCAATAGCTCTCTAATTAGACTAAAGTACCACTCACAACAAGAAAGAAAACATTACTGGTACTGAAAATCCATACAACCTAGGGCTAGGAAAGTCATGGATCTTAAAGAACCTACAATTGGCCCTTTACTAAACCAGCATAATTCCTAACTACAGTCTAACTATTTGTCCTTATGTCCACAGATAAGTGTAACTCTCACCACACATCAAGGAACTTCCCTTTGCAACACAGAATATAACCGAAAACCACAAATGATCAAAGTGAAGGGTTGTGGAGTTGAGTCCTAATTGGTCTACAAATGATCCAGTCCTAACATCTACAACACAGCTTCTACACTTGAGGCCCAGTGGTTATTTTGGAAGAGGTAGAAAAAAAGATTGCCAGAGCCAAAAGAATATGAAATTTTTCTATGCAATTGTGCCTTCTAGAAATAATACTAGCTCCACCCATGAAGTCTTTCCAACATGGCTGTCTAAAAGTGACCCGAACAATGCTAACACAACTAGATATGCTAATGTAAAAATGGAATAGCTAATGAGTTTTCAACTCTAGGCAAAGAACTACAGGCATCTATGGAATGCTAGTAGTTGGAGGAATAGTCTTTCCTGTGGAAAGCAAAAAGTAAATGATATGATAAATTATAATCTCAAAAAATAAAAAAAATATATATTTTCATTTTTTTAAAAAAATGGGATCTCTTTATGTAGTCCTGGATGTTCTGGAGCTTGAAACCTAGCTCAGGGTGGTTTGAAACTCACAAAGATTCTTCTGACTCTTCCTCCCAAGTGCTGGTATTAAAGGCATGCACCACTACACCTGGCCAAATATATACTTTTTTAACTTTTTTCCACATAAATTGTGATGTACATTCAAATTATATATCTTAACCCTCAAAATTTTTATGATATATAATATATAACATATATAATAACATAGTATTCTATTATTATAATATATATTAACATGATAATATATAGAGATGTTTATATGAAACTTTGAAAGACTCCAGATAACCAAAATAATCCTGAGCAAAGAGAGAGCTGGAGGTTTGGTCAGAGTTCAAGTTGTACTACAGAGCTAAAGTAACAAAAATAATGCAGTATAGGCAGCTATATCAATCAAGATAATAGAATAAAATGTTCATATATAAGCCCACACAGCTATGGCCTCCTGATTTTTGACACAGACCAAAAATATACATTGAGGAAAAGATGATCTCTTCAGATGATAGTGCAGAGACAGAATATCCTCACACAGATGAATGAAACTAGATCTCTATCTCTCACCCTGCACAAAATGACCTCCAAATGGGTCAAAGACCTTAATACAAGATCCCAAGTAGTTAAAAAAAAAAAAGTAGGGAAATTTTTTAAATACTTAGACATTAGGTAAGGACTTCATGAAAAAGACTCTAGTTACTTGGGGTAATAATGCCAATGATTGACAAACTGAACTTTGTAACACTGAAAGGCTTCTGTACAGTAAAGAGGATAGTTAAGAGAAAATGCAGCCTACAGAATGGAAGAATATCTTTGTGAGCTACATGTGCACCTAAGAAAGGATTGGCTCAAAAAAAAAAAAAACAAAAAAAAAAAAAACTATGTAATGAGAAATCAAAGAACTCAATCAATACATGGGCTAATGAATGAACACACAGTTCTCACTAAATAAAATTCCAGTATCCATATGAAAATGTGTTTAACTCACTAGCCATCAGAGAAAATGCAGATTACAACTAAACTGAGATTCTACCTCATTCCAGTCAGAAGAACAGTCATAAAGAAAAATGAAAAGCTAATGCTGGCAAGGATGTGAAGAGAATCTCTTCTGGTGGGAAAAGAAAGCAGTCCAGCCACTATCAAAGTCAGTATGGCAGTTTCTCAAAAACACTGAAGGTAGATTTACCATGAGACCCAGCTATAGCACCCCAGTGTATTTACAGGAAAGACACCATGTTCACATACCAGAGAGTATATTAATGCACTATTCACAAAAGATCAGTTATGGAAAGAAAACACTGGGTGTGTATCAGCAAAAGAATGTGTAAAGAAAACGTGGTCCACAGAATAGAATTTTATTCAGCCAGAAAGAAAGTGATATCACTGTGCTATCGTTTGCCAGAAAATGAGTACACACTGAGTTTACTTTATTAAGCAAATTAAACCTTCCTCAAAAACAACATATTTTCCCTCTTATTTGTGCATCCTAGATTATGCACAGAAACATAAAACCACGTATGACTGTGTGGCATGAAAATAGAAACAAAACTGTGTAGTGAAATGAAGAGGACCAGCAAGGGGAAAGAGGAGAAGAGGAAAGAGAGAAGGAAGGGGAAAGGAGGAATAGTGATGGGGAGGAGAGGGAGATGGGGGATATGCTCAAAATACATTGCATAGTCGTGTGAAAATATCTTTATGGAATCCAGGACAATGTATAGCAAATATAGACTGATAAAAAGGAAAAGGCACTAGCTGTCATGTGTATTTGCTCTGCTCATTCCTTAATACCATTTCATTTAAGGGAATGATTTCTTTCCCCTTCACTAAGAAAGGGGTGGCAAGACAATATTCCAAAAAAAAAAATCAACCAGAGCAAAGAGTATCATTACAAACTTCTAAGGTTATATACTGGGAAGGCTATTTACTTCTGTGTATCTTTGTACTTTCTGCATCACAGCTCCCTAAAGCTTTGAGCAGGCCAGAGCGCTGGGCTTGAGAGTCTTGGGCATATTGTGAGGCATTTGAAAGAGCACTCAAGAGTCAAGCCACCAAGATTCATACCTCCCAACCTGAGGTTAGAAGTCCCTGATATGTGGGGCAATCCTTCCTCTGGGACCAGAGTCTCTCCTAAATACGAAAGGACCCCTCCCCTTCTCATCAAGGCTTCTTGTAATGGGAGCTCATAAGCCTCTGGGTTCCTTGTGGACCAGTGTGTTTCTTGGGGTTTTCCAGGGAAAAGGAACCAATGGAGTAGATATAATTATAAAAAGAGATTTATTAGGTTGGCTCATATAGTCTGAGGCCGAACAGTCCCATAATGGTCATCTGTAGGCTAGGGAAAGAAATATCTGTAGCTGCTTGGGCCAAGAAGCTGAAAACTTCAGAAATGAGAAATAGGGACAATGATACAGAACAAGTTCAGGGCTCGAAAGCCAAAGAACATCTTGCACAACATTGAAAACCACACACATGAGAAGGAAAAGCAAGAGAGAGAGAGAAAGAGAAAATATGTTTTCTCCTTTCTTCGCTTCCTTCACAGCTCAGCTCTGAACATGGGACCAGCCGCATACACATCTGCACCCCGGCCAACGCTCATCGGCATAACAATCTAAGAGACTGTGGTAGCTAGACTTAGGGCAGCTCGACACACAAGTTAGAGTTTATCTGAAAGGGCGGCAATGCTGCTCTCCCTATCGCCACAAAGACGGCTGTTCTTCTGTGCCCCTGAAGTTCTGAGAAAACATGCTCCTAGTTTCATTTCTGTTGCTGTGGTAAAACGCCCTCACCAAAAGCAAACGTAGGTAAAAGAGGCTTTCCTGAGCTTGCCGTTCCAGGTCACAGGCCGATGTGGCAGGGAAGTCACAGAGGCAGCAGGCTGGGACTTCTGGTCCACATCAGACCCACATTCAAGAGCAGAGAACAAGCAATGCAACCCTTCTGCCTGCCTGCTTGTTCTTAACCGAGTTTTCTCCAGTGGTTTTACAGTCAAGGGCCCGGACTGCAAAACAGCGCAACTCAGATTCAGAGTGTGGGTCTTGCCACCTCAATTAACAATCTAGACAATCCCCCATTCCTGACCTAGGTAATTCCTCAGTAAGACTCCCTGCCAGGAGACATTTAAAACTACCAGGCACACCATTTTAGAACATTATCTCCTTGGGCCTTTGTTGCTCATTCTATCGTTGGGTCATCTCTGGGATCAGGAACTGATTTTCCCACCATTGTGCTCTGTGCCTGCAATACTTTGTAGAAAAGGTGCAGAATAATGCCTTATTTGTGGTTGCGCACTTCCTGGTACAAAACTCTATTCTTGTATTTCTTGGCATGTTTTCTATAGCTAGACATACTTACTGTCTCAAACCATTGGTGCTGTTAAGACTAAATAGCTGAGACTGAGTAATTGGAAACAATAGAAATTTATTTCTCATAGTGCTGGAGACTGAGACAGCCAAAAATCAAAGCAGGTTCACTGTTCAGTGAGCACTCAGTATCTCCATCCAGGACAGCCTTTTGCTCTCCACACTCCAGAGAGAACAAAAAGCTCTGTCTTCGTGTGGCACAAGAGATGGAAAGGCTACAAGGGTCCTAGCTGGTTGCCTCCAGCCCTTTTATAAGGCGACTAATTCCATTTATGAGGGCTCAGTCTTCAGGACTTAATCGCCTCCCTAAGAATTCATCATTTAATACATTTGCATGGGGGCTTAAGCCACAAAGTGAATTTTGGAGGGTCAAACATTTAAACCACAGCACCTGCTGTGTTTTTCTCTCTGCCCTTTGCATTTGGCCCTCACCTAAAGGCAAGTGTGCAGTATTAAGCAAATCCACAGTGGCAAGCCCACATGGGTCTGTGTTTCTGCTTTGCCCAGGTTTCCTGCAAGCCAACTTCTCAACTGCTTTAAGACCTCTCTTGGCCCCAGTGTTGATTTAGTCATTTGCACTGATTAATCCCTTAGCAACACAGAATGAGAAGCAGTAGAAATTTTTACAAAAGGGCATAGAGTTTGACAGAAAAGCATTCCTCCTTTTACTTGAATGTAGTATTTGAAACTTAAAGAGAAACATATTTAAAAAAAAAAGAGTAATGTGCCAGATTCAATTAACAATCCAGACATTTCTTAGTTATCCTTTTGACTAAGTGACAAGTAAATCCACTCAAAGGCTAGAAACTCCTTGCAGTTTTAGACTTTCGATTGTACTGGGGTAAAACCATGGCCTCCTTTGTGCTGGGCTCCAAATACCCAAATTTCTCACAGCCTAGATCCCCAACCCCTTTTTCTCTTGCAATGAAGATAGGTGACCAGGTGAGAAAAAAAAAAGACATGCAAATACCAAACACCAGTGAAATAAAAACTGGAGTGAGTGGAGCAATGATCTCTGAAAATAAGGAATGAAACTGGGATGACTGAGAAGTATAAGTAAGGGGTATGTATCAGATGAATCTAGCCCTTTAGAAATTACTGAGACCTAGAGGAATGATACCAGAATGATATAGATGGCAGATGGCATTCCTCAGGGGCTCACTGAAGAGAATGGGCACTGTGTAACTCAATAGCTATGAGCATTTTTTTTTTTGATGCTTAAACTTTAGAGGGCATGCTGGCTGATTTTGTCAAGATATCTGAGAAGAGAGGCTCTTTCTTGAGGAAATGCTTCCATAAGATTGTCCTGTATCCAAGCCTGGTGTGCATCTTTTGGATGGGTGGCTTGGCATGGGAAATTCCATGCCACAGGATGCAGAACCACTGATGGGAAGGTGGCCCTGAGTTATACCAGGAAACAGGCTGAGAAAGCCATGAGGAACAAGCCAGTTGTGACTATTCTTCCATGGCCTCTGCTTGAGCTCCTGCCCTGGTTTCCCTCAGCAACAGAGTATGATTTAGGAATTGTAAACTAAAACAAACCCTTTCTTCCCCAAGTTGCTTTGGGTTGTTCTGTTTCATCACAGCAGTAGGAACCCTTAGAGCAGAAGTGCACCGCTTCACAACAGTATTCGAATTTGATCCTTAAAGCCACCATATGATGCAGGGAGTAGGTGCAAACGTGTTTGTGTGCATGTGTGAGCGTGTGTGCATGCTCATGCACACAGGTAAATGTGAGCATGCATATCTGTAGTACCATATGGACATCAGATGGTATGTTATGTCACCAGGTCCCTCCTTCTCTGCTTCCCCAGTCCTAGGGTTCAGAACACACATTGCCACACCTGGCTTTTTTATGAGTGCTTGGGATCTGAACTCAAGTCCTCATGCTCCAGTAGCAAGCACTTTACCAACTGAGACTTTACCCTAGCACCTCATATATGCACTTTTCTCTCAGCTTTGGGGTGAGTGGTAGAAAAATTAACTCATTTGCCTTAAGACACAGCTGGCCATTGACAAAACTGAGAACCACCAGCTAACTTCAAATTATGCGTGCTTCTCACTGTCTCAGAGCCATCTCTTAGTCCTTAACCTTCCTGTTAGACCTCATGCTCTGCTTAAATTTGAGTAACTCTAGCCTCTTCCTGGACATTCTTTGTGTAACAGGGTTTTTCTTAAATAACATATCAGTATGCCTCCCATGAGGTTCCATAATCTACACTCATCTCTATCTTGGAAATAGGTCAGAATTTCCTATTTCCTAGTCTGCTTCTTTGACATAGGCAACCCTTCTGCAAGAGGATTGCTTCTGTACCCCAGAGCCTAACACAGTTCTGAGTGTAAGCCGTATCTCAGTGAGCTACTTATAAAGCTGGAACACACAGTAAGCACTTTGTAGCTGCTCCTTCATGGCTTGGTGAGTTGGCACTAAATGTCCATTGTTCTCTAGTCCTGTAAAGTATCCAAATTCTCATGTGGCAAGCTTTGGTTCTGGTGAAGGAGCTCCAAGTCTCCTGCTTCATGAAATTTTTATTTCCCCATATGATCTTTTTTTTTCCTCGCTTTTTTCTCCAGATATGAGCTGTCCCATAACCAAGCTCTCAAGGTGCCAGACTACAGCAGCACTCCTCCTTTCTTATACGACGTTCTCAATAGCAATAGTGAAAAAACAAAGGAGCCGCGCATAAAATCGCCTGAGAAGGCTCACTGTTGAAAGACAGCATTGCTCAGAGGTCAAAAACGAGGTTTTGTGACCACACTGCCAGTTATAATCATGCCTGTGCCAGTCCTACTCTCAGGATACTCCAACCTCTTCATGTATCTCTTTCCAAGATGGCAGAATAGGATGGTACTAGTATCTAGACAGAAAGGTATCCTTTTACCCCATTGTTATAGCTGCACCTTAGAAAGATTATATAGACTATCATATAATTAATAAGTACTAAACTGTCTTCCTGACACAGAATCTTATAGTTTTCATAATTTGTGGGACATAGAAAAGACAGAACAGGTAATATGTCTCTATGTAAATGTGTATACATAAGTGAACACATACGAGTTTATACAAACACCTACCTATTATCAAAATTTGATTTTTTTGAGGTTGGAGAGATGGCTCTGTGGCAAAGGTGCTTGGCACATAAACTGGGTGACCCAAGAGCAATATCTGGAACCCACGTAAAGTGGAAGGAGGAAGCTGAATCCACCAAGTTTTCCTTTGCTCTCTACACATACACCATCACACATGTCCTAACACACACACAGACCACAAGAACCATCATCATAATAAAAGTTTTAAACTTCAATTCTCAAAGGTATATTGCATGCAGAAATCATAACAGACAATGGGGCTAGAGAAATGACTAAGCTATCCCAATCCCTGTCTAACATAGAAGTAGACGAATTCAACAACTAACCACATGGTTACAATAAAATATGATAAAAATCTGTGAAAATAAGTGTGGAATGCTATGGTAGTACACACTGGTGATCTCTAGCTAATGAGAGCATTACCAGATGAAATTAAATTAAAGCTTACACTCTGAAGACACAAAAGGATAGACTCAAGTCTGCAGGACTGGATGCAAGCTTGCTTAAGGATCTGGAAAAGGAAGACAGAGGGTATATTCCAGGCAGTGGAAGCAGCAACAGTTAAGTAATAAAAATAATTTGAGCTACAGAATGTTTAATAGCACTAAGACTTAAAATTCACAGGACACTGACAGAAGAGCAAAGTGAAAAGACAATGTTAATCACATGATGAATGCCTTTATAATCCGTTCTGAAGGGTGTGTATCCTAAGGATGATGAAGAGTGCTTATGTGTCTTCAAGTCAAGTGATGGCATGATTTAATTTCTCATTCAGAAAGCCCACCTGCTAGCAAAAGGGTTGACAGATAATAAAGGGAGAAGACTGGCTGGCAAGGCAGTGTAGAACTGCGGAAGACAAGTGATGGTGGACTGGGCTCAGAAGGAAGATGGCTTGATGGGGAGAAACTGACAGATCTGAAAAAATTGTGGGAGGGAAGATTGACAATTTTTTGGTGATGGATTAAATGTGAGAGCTGAAGGAGTCAAAGATTATCCTGAAATGTTTAACTTGGGCAACCAGGTGAACAGTTAACCAATGCAAGGAATACTGAGAGAAGTGACTAGGGTATAAAAAAAAAAAAAGAATAATTTGGATTTGGGTCTTTTAAGGTTAAAATACATGTGAGCTATTCAAATGGAGGTAACTTAGGAGCAGATAGACTTGTGGATCTAGACCTGA